AAAGCTGATTATATTTACAAAAATTTAAGTTTGCATATTTAAAAATATTATTTTAACAAAAAATAAAACTATTTTTAATACAAACAAATATTTTATTTCAAAATAATTTTACTATTCCAGAAAACATCTCTTTCTATTTCAGAGCAAAGAAAGCCTCATACTGATCTTAATACTTTGAGTGATCACTTCATTAATTAAATTGACATTTTGCTGCATTTTTAGATAAAAATAAATGAAGGTTTAGCTCCTTATTTACAGAAAGACAATTCTGAGGCCATGAAACAAGATTTATTATTAATGAATTGAGATGATAAGTTAAGAGGTGATGTGGGACAGATTTGAGAAAAGGAAATATAAAATAAAAGGAGGGATCAAACATAATTGCCTTACTAAAGAAAAACAGCTGCTTAATAATGTTAGAACTGACAGTATAGATTTTCTTAATGTTATAATTTTCCTATACTGAAAATATATTTGTGATAGGTACTTACCTCCATTCACAAGATTAGTTATTCTTGTTCAGTGTTGCCCTCTAAATGCAAACTTTTTTTATGCATGCCACAAGCCTTCTGCTCCCCCCCTATTGAAATTGCTATATTCCAACATGTTTCTCATGCAAATCATCATGCGTCACCTTCTAAGTAATAGGAACATAATATGCTCACGTGACGCATGTGACTCCCTCTAATAAACTATCACTTCAAAGTTTGGCAGAAAATGTCAGCCCCAGATAAAAGTGTGGAGGAAAGGTGAGAAGTGTGAGTGGAGCTAAGAACCTATCAGAAATACATTTTCAATATAGGAAAATTATAACTTTCGATACGATAATTACCTCCTCACACAAGATTAGCTAAAACTTCACATTGAGAAGGAGGCAGGACCGGTGTGAGGGAATGACACAAGTTCCCCCTGAAAGCATCCAAAGGATACCCCTGAAAATGAGAGATACAGATCTGAAGATCAGACGAGGGAAGCATATCCAAGTAGGAGTGAATGTGGGAGGAGTGATCCTAACCAGAGAAAGATATTGTAACTCAATCCCATAAGAGAAAAGTGGGTAAACGAGTTTGCACCCTTGTATTTAGAGTGGCTAGGATGTTGACTAGGTAAGTCAACAACATCCAAAACCAACTCCCCGATGTACCTACATCCACGTAAGGGTAGGATGAGGATCACACAGTCTTCACCTTAAACTCAAGAATTGGTGATTTAGACCCACAATGATTCCCGGATATGAAATAAGGATTAGCTCTGAGCTATCAATCTGGGAAATTGACATCCGGTATCAAAGGGATGTTTATCGCATGGAATCAACTCCCCCAACCACGGTACAGGCTGGGACCATCCAATGGCAATAGCATCCCATAAGGAGAGGAGGAGGGATAGTCAAGGACAGAACCATAACAATCCCAAGTACTACCACTGTGACCCACAACACAGATGGAGAAAATCGAGGGAAGAAGATAAACAACTCGATCCTGTGTGAGGATTTATGTTGATTGGTTCACTCTAATCCATAATCTCCTTGTGAGGTATCGACATCCACGTGAGGATAAAAATGAGAGATCCCAAATGAAGGGGTGAATTGCATTCAGACGTCTCACTCTGTGGTATTGGTTATTGCAAATAGGAGGATATTATGTCATCTACACCAAGGACAGGACAAAAGCCAGGTGAGAAATTCCACCACATGAGCCATGGTAGGTTTTTCAGCAGGAAACCCCCTGGTAGTAGACCAACTGCGGAATACCTTTTATTTGCATTGGTACACTCCATGGAAGATGGATGGATGGAACTAGCTAACAAGGAAGCCACTTGACGTGTGAAACCAGATCATCTTGCCAAGAACAGGACAAAAGCCAGGCGTGAAGATGCAGGATGTGAACATTGGGTTGTAGGATATATGTTTGAGGATGACAAAAAAGGGAGGGAGAAAGTGGAAGAGGAACAGGGGGGAAAGGAGCAGTTTCGTGCAGAGTGTCTTTTTGTGCCATGTATTAAAATATTGTGTTCGAAAGGAGTCGGACGTATTCTATTTTGTTCCGGATGGTTATTATTTTTCTGATTTTTGCTTACAATACCCATATTTTTATAAATAACTTCTCGCAGAAAACCTAACGTGTTGAGTGAAGATGATATAATTACTGAACTATTTGATGATAATTTGTCACATCTTCCAAGTGAAGGTGAAGATTCTGATGTAGATGTATTTGTGTATCATTCTGACAGTGACTAGCTACAGTGACATTGTTAGACCTACAAAGATACGTAAAATTGTGCTCTCAACTGATTCTGAATCAGAAAGTGATAATAGGCTGAGCTGGCCAATAGGGAGCAATCAGTAGGACTCGACAAGGAGTGGAGTGGACAAGAGAAATCACCCAATGAAGTAATAGGATGAGTGGGTACACATAAAAATACTTGTATTACCAATCCTGGCTGAAGGCATCGATTGCCAGAGCCAGAGTCTGTGGATGAGGTACAGTCAACCAAAAGAGAGGTAAAATGGGGTTGAGGCCCATAGCAAAGGCATCCACATGGGAAGAGCCCCACCAATTGCAAAGATCCCTGAAAACGAGGGGATCTAATGCCCATTCAGTAGGATACATCCGGTTGAGGCCCAAAAGATGATCTGCAACCAGATTGAAAGCACCTGGCACAAAACATGCAATAAAGCAAATGTGCATTTGGCCCAGTGTAATAGATCTAACATCTGAAAACATAGATTTCTGGATCGATTGCCCCCTCATCACAAGACAATGTCAAACGAAAAGAAGGAAGTGATGCAACACCTGATGTTTGGCTAGGTTCAAGAACATTGATATGCAAAGCACTTTCGTCTGCAGACCAATGGCCCGAAGCTTTCTGGTGATTAAACCCATGCTCCCCATCCCTGAAAGGATGCATCCGTGAAAAGATGTAGATCTGAATTGGGGGGAGGAAGCGGCACACCTGCCAACGTATGGGCTTTGTCCAGTCACCAATGCAGATCATCTTGTAGGGAAGGAGGAAGGGAAATAGGGGTAGAAAGAAGATCCTGAGCAAGGTTCCATCATTTGTGAAGCACTCAATGAAGGGATCTCATGTGAGCATGATTAATAGGGACAAGTGATGTCATGAAAGACCAAATGCCCAAAAGCAATAGAACCTCTCGAGCAGTAAGTGACTGTGCCGAGAGGGTGTGGTGAAGGAAAAGGGTATCTACAGAAAACCCCTCAGGATTTCTGTGGAGAGCTTCAGATAGGAGGTGTATGGAAGAAAGAAACTGTAAGAGGTTGGTAAGGGTAAGATGCAGACGAGAATATTGGGCATGAGTGAGACTGACATTTGATTCAAGAGCCACTCCCCAAATAGGAACCAAGGAACCTTACAACTGCTGATCTAAAAATGGATAGTCTGCCCGATGGTAAGAAAGTACGAACTGATCAGGCGAGAACATTGGGCATGGGTAAGATTGACATTTGATTTGGGAGCTGCCCCCCAAATAGGTAACAAGGAACATAACAACTGCTGATCTAAAAATGGATAGTCCACCCAATGGCAAGAAAGGGCAAACTGATCAGTAGTCATTGGGGAAATGGCATGTTAATCCTCTCAGTCAATTGTGAGGCAAATTAATCAGCATGAATCCCAACATCAGGGGAGGGAGGAAAACCAAAAAGAGTTGGGAATATTGTTCATGCAATAAGGAAGGATGAGGTGAATAAGAAATATGTGACACAAAATCCAGAAAGCCCGAATTAGACCTAGGAGATTCTTCAGATTGGGAATGGAAAGGAATGACAAACTTTGGAAGTGGAAAAAGAAGATCAAAGTCCTTGTCAGCCTGCATAGGCTCAGGAGGAGCCTGGACAATGTCTGGGGACAAAGGTTGGCCCATGTAATGTTCAATCTCTCAATGTATAAAAGCAGATAAATCCACTGTCGGGTTGCCCGTACCTGAAGCCTGAGAAAAATGCTGGTCGCTGGTATAATCCCCATTGTGGTAACTTTAACTTTGGAATTCACTGCACAGAAAAGGTTCACCAAATTTGATTGCGGAAACAAAGTGACTAGAATTAACTGATAAATACTAATATAAGAAATATGTTGAATGAAAGCAAATTATGTTGAAAAATAACCACTTCATGAAGAAACCATGAACCCTTAAGCACACAAAAGAGTATGTCCGAACTCAAACGCTATCAAACAAGAAGTTTGGTAGAAGGAGTTACATACGTCACGTGAATATATCATGCTCCTATTGGTTAGGAAATGACACATATTATGCTACTATTGGTTATGAAGTGACACATGATTATTTGCATGAGAGACATATTGAAATATAGCAATTCCAATAAGGGGGACGAGAAGGCTTGTGGCATGCATAAAGAAAACATTTGCATATAGAGGGCAGCACTGAACAATAAATCTAATCTTGTGAGAGAGGTAAGTACTGTATGGGAATTAAACACATACTGTACATGGTTCAAATTAAGCTAACTTTATAAAATCAAAATGCATTTACATGTATTTTCTAAAATATACATGCATAGCTTGATACTTACCACTCTCCACAGAGAAACCTAACTCCTAAAACCACATGTAAGTAAATCTCTGATGGTACAAAGATGTACAATTTTACTCTGATTATAAAATTCTTTCCCTGTGTACATTTACAGCTGACTTACTATGGTTAAAAGTATTTCAAATTATTAACGTTCTTTGCAGTTTCATTATTAATACATGCTGCAACAAGGATTTAAGTGTTCTATAGAGTAAAATGTGACTAACCCTGCATAAAAAGACAGCCAATAGTCATTCCTAATAAAACTCACTATACTGTGTATCTTTTAAGCTTATTTTTTCAATAACCTGTTTTTAGATTGTCATCTATCTTTAACACCAGTAATGATTTAATATTTACATTCTCCATTGTTTCATCTATTAAAAGTTTTTTGAAACTTTTAATATTGGATCACTTTTTCAGGGTGTAACATTAACTTGTTTTAATTTAAGTACCATCTGGGCATAATTATCAAAGATTTTAGATGCCACAAGGGATTCTTGATGGTTGAAAAAAAATCACTGTCACAAAATTGGCATTTGTTTATTGATAATTTTTTTCTCTTCATATTACATCAGCATTCAGAACAAATACCTAACATTATCACAGCTTCACATCTGGGGACTTTCCTACATCATGCAAATACCACCACATGAGATTAACAGTCTTGTCTAGATGTAGAAAAATATATAGATGAACATAAGCAATCGGAACTGTAAATATCAAATCAAGACCACATGCAGACATTATAATATATTTTAGATTTATGCGTGAATGTAGTGCTTGAATTGTGAAAATCCATAAAATTAAATACTAAAGGGAAGCCATATTTCTATTCTAGCTGTTTTACTAAACATAAAACGTTACACAGTTTAGATATCCAGTTTGAAAGTAATGTATAAACCTATGTCTAAACACACTTCTGTTTGACATTAGGACACCTGTAACATTTTTATTGCTACTAATGTTAGTCTAAGCCTACAGTATAAGGCAAGTAATAATAATAATAATTATTGTCTTTATATATATGTGTTGTGTGCATTAAGAGATTTAGATAGGTTGAAAAGTGAGATGCATAAGCTGTTGATTAGTTGACTTCAATAACACTGGCTAAGATAGGCAAATTATTGCAACACTGGGCTGTAAGTTGCATTACCTTTCTTTATATGCCCAGCAAAGATCTGAAACATGGTTGGACAACAGTTTGGAAAATTAGTAAACTCAGTCAAATAATCTACATTTAACAGAGAATACAAGTAAAAGTAGCCCTGCATCTGCAATGGTTTAAGGTTGCATAATTATAAATTCTTGGTACAGAACTATAAGTTCTTAATTTACATTCAGCATACACTCCACTTTATACTGACTAGAACGAACACTGATGTTTTATCATGTATGAGATGATTGCATCAATATTGTTTATGCTAATTGGGTACATCATTTTAAATTTTTATGTGCCCAACATGATTTTTAGGTATACTTTTGGCATCCAGCATACATTAGTTTAGTATCCTATACTTCTAATGGAAATAACAATGCATGAAATTATACCAGCAAAGCTTCTTTTGGAAAATTATAGACATTACTTTAAAATAGTTCAGTAGATACATTATTAATTTTGGTATTTAAGATAAAGCATAGCTCTCATTTGCAAGTTTCTAAACACTTTACTTCAGGAAACATAAAACTGGAAAATAATGAACAACAAATGCATCTAATTTAAATAGAGCTGCTTTCTATGACATCACACTGACAGTGAGTTACTTGCAGAGCTATCATATCAGTTATTCATGATTTTCACAAAGTTTTTTTTTTTTTTGCATAATATGAGATTTAATAAATACAGCAAAAAGGTGAAAAATGATAAAAATTTGTTCCGTTCATAATTGGAATATACTTTTAGCCACTGGCTAAAAAAGATTAGTTTAAATTTATTCTAATCTATACATAGGTATAGGGTAAATAAAGTAGTCTGTGCAGTAATTTGTAGCTTCTTGAGATACTGACTACCCAGTATTCTAATGAAAAGTTTACAAAACTGAGGAACAAGCCACGCATATAAGAATTTTCCTGTAGTTTCTTTTGATGTTTTCTTCATTCCTAAAGATGTTATATGGGATACATATCTATAATTTTTTGCATCAGTGCACATTCTTTACTTTGAAAGATACTGATTCAGTGCTTATAATAATTAATTAAAAATTAATCATCACAGTTTAAGTTTTGTTATAATACATCATGGATACACTATTAAAATAATCAAGTGAAGCATACATAAATTGTGTTTGTATGCATTTGTTTGGCATTTTTAGTAATAGGAGAATTAAGACGTCAAGGAAAATAATTGAACTGTACATAAATAAAAACTGACTAACCTTCCAACGTTTCTCCCTATCTATATTTTCAGCTTCATAACTCCAGCATCTTATAATCTAAAAAAAAAGAAAAGACTTTAAATCAATTTCAGTATTTCCTAAATGAACTGAGACAACTTACAAAAAACAGCATTACTTTAAATTGAATTTACATCAGTCTTTATACATTTTCAAAGTACAGTTGCTAAATATAACGATAATTAAACAAATAGAACACTAAACAGTAATCATGGGGAGAAACTACAGTAAGAAAACACAACGGAAGAAAAAAGTAAAATCAGTAATACGAATATATTAAAAAATGTATAATTTAAATGAAGACTGCATGTTGTTCAGAGTTGGAGAGTGCATTTTTTTTATATGTTCGTATTACTGATTTTACTCTTATTTTCCGTTGTGTTTTCTTACTGTAGTTTCTCCCCATGATTACTGTTTAGTGTTCTATTTGTTTAATTATCGTTATATTTAGCAACTGTACTTTGAAAATGTATAAAGACTGATGTAAATTCATTTTATTCTTCTCACGATTTACATTGGGTACAGATACCCGCGGT